ACATTTTCTGGACTGCTATCCCAGGGCCCCTTGAACATCTGACCTGGAACAACTGGCCTAGTTTCCCTTTCCAACATAATTATAGGTTCCAGGAGAACCATGGGTGTTACGACTACCATTGAAAACAACTCAATCATCATTCATCTCCTTCATAATTATTAGAAGTTTATAATAATTTTATATTAACCATTGATCAGCACAAATATATTTTTGGAGCAAATCATAGTTTTTTTCATTGCAAAATGTTTATACGTGTTAACTTTTCAAAAGAACCCTTGAAATTGGTAAGTGCTTTCAATACAGGTTGCTGCCTGTATTCTCTCCTTGCTTCTTCCTTCCCAGTGATGACCAGCTGCAGGTCCGTGCAGCCTTCCTTGGTTATGTCTATGCCATGGAGAACTGTGCATTGGGATTCTCCCAAATGTCTTGGATGTGTTTGATCAGAGCTGGACTTTCAGTCCAAGTTAGGTAGTAGGCTCTTTTCTCCACTATCTAATGACCATTTTTTATAATTGTAGCCAAACCTGTTCTTGCTGTACAGTCATGCTTTGATTTTTACAAAACTCTCTCTGTAACCATTCAGCCAAAATACTGGGGATGAGAAAGTTGAAAAAATACAAAACCATTTCCTGATCTACAACACATACATTAATAACACCAATAATACACCACCAAAGCATTTTGTTTATATGAATGTAAATAGTCTTCCAAAGCAGGTGATATTAATTCCATTTTAAAGATAAGCAAACTGAGATTCAGCATGATTTCATTATATTTCCCAGCTTACTATTCAATGAGTGAATGAAATAAAGAATGAATGAATCCCTAGCGAAAACTGCATGGATTGAGTGGATTAAGAGATTGAGGTAATGTGAGGTCACTTTTTCCATCCATTTAGCAATCAATGATAGAGTAAGCTGCTCTGACAGTCACGTGGGGTTTATGTTTGGGGGTAGGATGCTGCTGGAGAACCAATGCTGACAATTTTAAAAGAAAACAAGAATGAATAACTGATGAGACAGCATCATGGAGTAGAAGAACAATGGTGAGTCACATGGATGGATAGGCTTTCAGCAGAAACCACCAGCTCTATGGTAAATGCATCCATTGCTGGCATGCTTCAAAAGCTTCCAGAAACTACAGTGTACATTCGTTTGAAATGGAGCAAAATAGATACACTGGTAATACCTAACTTAGGAAGAGTTGAAAAGCATTACCTTTTTCAATGATCATTAACGGAGTTTGAGCAATTATGTAAGTCCTCTCTAATAAAAAGAGACTCACCAGAAAGTGAATGATTTTTTTATTTATATGCTATCAGTTTTAAAGAAACTAGAACAATCATTTTAAAAAGCAAAGTAAAAGGTAGTACACACAGCAACTTCTTTCTTGAAGCAATATAATGTTGATATAAATTAGAAGTGATATAAAAATATTATTTCCTATACCAACATTCTAAGAAAATGTTAAAAACTATAATGAAATTCTCTTCAACCTTAGTAACAGTGACTAAATTTGGTGCAAGAAAGTAATATAAGGATTGTTTTATATTTATTTTAAGAATTGATTTATAAATATGTAAATACTTTTGAATTATGAAACTAAATTTATATATAAAATTTATTCATGATAAAATACTATAATGGGAATAGAAAAAAAAGTTGGTGGCTCGTGCCTAAAATCCTAACTAATCAAGAAGCTGAAATCTAAGGATCAGGGTTTGAAACTCTATGTACACTTGTATGCAGCAATATACTGGAATTCTCTCCAGGTAAACAGAAAAAAATGTGATTATATAATTTTAGAGATTCCTAATACCATTTCTTATTAGCATAAACTATAACTGCACATATAAAATGAAGCAATCCTTTAGACACAATATAGGCAATAGACTGTTCATAGAATCAAAATACAATAGCCAACACTAGCAACAAAATTTTATTATTAATATTCATAGACATAATTTTAAATAATCATGTCTACAAAAGTGCAAAATAATACACAACAAATCATATACCATATTTATAAACAGAAATTTAGAAACTTTATTGAAGAAAGCTAAAAGAATAATTATTTGTGGATAAGGAAACTTGATGTATAGATGTTATTTGTCTCAAAATCAATGCTTAACCCAATGACAGTTCAATTAGCATTATTTGATCTTATTTTTATTTTTTGTGTATTATCATATGTTGGCTTTAAAATATACATAAAAGACCATGGAAGCATAATGCCTAAGAGTCCTTATGCCTAATGAAACACAGACTTGCAGGAACAATGTACTAATTCTGAGTTTGGTCTTTTTATATAGACTAACATATCTATTAATAAAACAGTAGCAGATTTTTTAAATTCTATTTTTATAAAATAAATTTAGAATTAACTTTGCTACAACAAATAATTCAATATAAGAAAAGAGATATAACAATTATTAGGAAGAAAACTGTTTGGTACAGTACTACAAAGGGAAAAGAGAGGGCAGAATATATAGAATAAGAAAAAGGAAGGAGAGAAGGAAGAAAGGAAGAGATGAAGGAAGAGAAGAAAATAGGAAGGAAGGAATGAAGGAGGAAGGAAGGGAAGGAAGAAGAACGGGAGGAAGTCAAGCAGGCAGGCAGGCAAAGAGATGTCTATGTTATCACCAAAATATATGTTAAAAAATTGAAACATTACAAGAATGCAGAAATTATTTCTGACCTCCAAGTAAGAAACATTTTTTGGCATGGGACTGGTAAAAAGTATTAATCATTCATCAAAAGTTTAAATTATTTAAACACAATGAAACCAAAATCTTTTATATTCAAAAGAAGGAGAGAAAAATTTAAATTCTAAAAGATATTTGAAAAATTATAAATAAAAAATGTTCTGAATCAGAATGAATTTTTTTTTACCAAGAATAGTACATAGAAAAGAGAAGGAATTGATACTGAGCAATAAATATCAAAGTCAAGGGGAAAAATATTCATGAAAAAATGTAAAGATGATTTAAAACACAAGTGTTAGGGAGATTGGATTCAATGGAATAAGTCTACTGTATATGGGTACATCTACTTTGAGAAATACATTGGTATTGTAATATTGGTGGCATCGTTATAATTATAGTGGTGTTATTGTATATGTTACTGCATTTTACTCTGATAGTAATCACTGCTCATTAGCACTTGAAAGCATGAATATATGTTTACAAGAATGTTGAACTAACCAGTGCAAATACCCATTGCTATAGATTTAAGAAAGCTTCACATAAGTAGTATTTCATAGAAGGGTAGAAGTAAATAAAAACACACATGAAAAGAATTTTGGATACAAAACTGATGGTTCTTAGTATCAATGCTGTGTGGGTAAAACAAACAACAGTATCTTGATTATAGCTACATATCAACACAATATTTACAATAGTGCTTAACTTGCACTGCATTATAGGACAAGGTTCAGAGGTAGATGTCAGTGTCTGGAAGCATTCTCCTTCTCAGAGAAGGTAATATATGTAGGCACTTATTATCGTATGTATAACATAAGCAAACAAAGTATTAAGAGATCTGAAGAAAATATTTGAAAGTTACCTATGCCAGGGTAAATATTCACAACAAATACATAAGAAAATACATGGAGGTTTCATCTTCTAAATATCTATAGATATTATCTGAGATGGTGGGTTTAATTTAACTTCATATGCTTTGCATTTTAAAATAACATTAATAGTCAAATCGATTGAAAAGAGGGCCAAACCTTCAAGAAGTCCAGGAAATCTATCAGCATGCACAATCCAGTACTAAATAATAGAAAAATGAGATATGACATAAAATAGCAAGGTTATGTTTTCACTCATCATCTAAGAAATGACATACTTCAAATATACTCTTTCAAATATACTCTTTGGGGGTTGCCAGTATTTGGAAATATATTCCACAGTTAGAGGCACTCAGGAAGATATAGTGATATAGCAGAACATTTTCTTCTAGAGTAGCCTTCAAACACATATTCCACATGTGTGCTTCAAATATTAACTGTGGTGTTTTTATTTTTTGTAATAGTAACACTCCAGAAGTAGGTTAAAAGTCTACGAAAGAAAATGATTTATTCATGTTGGAATACATGTACTCATTATAAATCATCATGTGACATTTAACAATCCTGACGCAGCATGGTTTGACTTATACCATATGCACATGCTATGTGACAGTACATAATCTTCGAAACACTTCAAGCAAGAATAAGATCACATGCGTATAGCAGATTCATGTAAAAATATGTGTGCAGTAATAACGTTTTACAAATGTCAGTTCACTTAGTTGGTTACATATTGTATTATTACTTGTGGTTATTTCTGGAGCAAAGCAGGAATGGGGCAACAGTTTCCATTCTGTTCCAATTCTTTTCCTGCAATAAAATCGGCATGAGTGAGGGCATAACTGGCAGTATCACCTGCCTTTGTGATTTTTCCCAAGGTGGGTTGCCTTAATTGGCACCCTGCATGTGGTATCAGCAGGAGTGGTGAGTATTTAATACAGCTGACCCAACAATTAAGCTTGAGTGTTCCTGGGTGGTAAACACTGTTGACCAGGTCAAAGGATAAGATGAAGTCTGTCTCTTCTGTGCAGAATGGAAATCTGAAGGAAATGTTGAAATGATTAGATAAAGCCTCAATTGCGGCTTGATCAATTTCTCCAGTACTGGTGAAACAGAAAAAGAATATGTCTTTTTGCATTATGTGAGTCTAAATCATATTTGGGAGAATTGCTTAATGAAAATTATTATTATTTATGATCTTTAAAAAATCTGTGCATTTATAAAAGGAAAAATATTCATCATAGAAGCTTGAATTTATATTAATATAATATTGTAAAGAATACCATCAGAATTATATACTTAAAATACACTTGAATGTCAACAAATCTGCATTTTCTTAAAATATTTCATGATAAGTCTAAAAAGAAAAAATTGAACAAGTCTTAATTTTTAAATATCAATCATGTGCCACAACATACTTATTTTTTCAGGTTAAACTTTTTCCGAGATGTTCCTGACTTCAGAGTGCTAGCATGTGGTGGCGATGGAACTGTGGGCTGGATTTTGGATTGCATAGGTAATGAAGACATACACTTAATATGGCTTAGTGAAGACTGTCACACTGAATTCTACCATATTACCTGCCTGTCTGTTTCTTTTTATTTATTATCTATCTATCTATCTATCTATCTATCTATCTATCTATCTATCTATCTATCTATCTCTTTATCTCTCTATCTCTCTATCTCTCTATCTATCCTATCTATCTATGATCTATCTATCTATATTTAGCAGCATCAACATCTTCAATTGCAATGATATACTTAGCCATCTGGAAGGTTGCACAATTTATTCTTCTTTAAGTCAGAATTTTATCTGACATAATAATTTAGAAATTTCACTAAATCAATACTTCTTTTCCAGTCCATTTCTCTATTAGAATTTTACTGTTGGAATTTTGCTTCTTCCATTAGCATTTACTAACTCTTTAGAGTTATCTTTACATCAGGAATAGAATAGGTCTAATTGTGTCTTCACCCTGGACAGAGAGGAAAAGGGACATTAGCCCTTTTAATAAAGTCTGTGACAAATAGATACATTAAATTATTTGAGGGCTGGGCACCGGTGGCTCATGCCTGTAATTCTAGCTACTCAGGAGGTTGAGATCTGAGGATCGTGGTTCAAAGGCAGCCCAGGCAGAAAAGTCCCAGATTACCACCAGAAAACTGGAAGTGGCGCTGTGGCTCAAGTGATAGAGCCTAGCCTTGAGCTGAAGAGCTCAGGGACAGCTTCCAGGTCCAGAGTTCAAGCCCCACCACTGACAAAAATTTAAATAAAACAAATTTGAGTATGAAGCATCATTATCCATCATTGTTATCATCATCATCATCATCATCATAGCTAAGTTACTTGTATATTATCAGATAATTATAAATCACCTTCTATATTCTTTACCATTATATTACATAGGCTGTACTAAACCTGTTACAGTAAAACTATTCCCATTATCTTGAAGAAAGTAAGTAATTGAAGCAAAGTCTTGTAGTTGCAAACAAACAGGGTTAAAATATAGACTTTATTCTATGTTGTCCTTCTAGTTAAAACAGTTTGAGATGATCAGCATAATAATTTAAAGTTAAGCGTGTCACACAAGAAGAACTTGTTAATTCTGAAAACTTACTTGTGTGTTCAGAACTGATCACTAGATAGAAAAACAGATCATGAATTACCATTTATGAGAATCCAAATCCAAGCCAAATATTTGCTGAATTGATAAGTCTTTAGAAATAGACACTGTCACAATAAGGACTGATTCAAAAGAAGTGTTGTGCTCTCTATACAATATTAAACAAATTTCTCTTTATTTTCTGCATCAAAATAAATGTACATCAAAATATTTATTTTTATATAGTGAAAAATGTTCATACTAAAAATATCTGGCCTTTGTGTGTCCCAGCCTAGAGTCCCTATCTACTTTCAAAACAAGACCATTTAAAACCGAATACAGGTTATCAGCAAACTTTTGCTAAGCGTCTATTTTAATCTACTAATGGAAGATTAAAATAAAATAATCAATGAGATTCTGATTTTGGCATTTCAAGAAGAGACATAAACAGTATTTATTCATCCTAGCTATTAAAAAAACACTACAACTTGATAATTAGACAAGTTACCAAGTTAATGAAATTGTCCCCTGATTTGTGAATATATTATAATGACAATAGTAAGAGTTTCTCCTTCATTTGTCCCTCAGAAGTCTATTGTGATGTAATATCCCAAACTTACAGTCCCTCTTATACGCATCCATGCAGTGAATGACAAGTTGGAGAGTTATAAAAACAAAAAGAGAAAGAGAGAGAAAGAGAGATAGGTAGAGAGAGATACAGGTATAGATACAGTGATGTTCATCTCTAAGCATATTTTTTCCCCAAAATTTCATATGTTTTTATTTTTTTATTTTTATTTTTTATTGAAATGGTATATATGGAAGGGCTACAGTTACATAAGTAAGGAAATGAGTACAATTCTTATGGATCATTGTTACCCTCTCCCTTGTTTTCTCCCACGATTCCTTTCCCAGATTCTCTCTCTCCCCTCAAGTTGTAAAGATCATTTCCAACATAGTGTCTTGGGAACATCATTGTTGCATCCTTTGTCCTTTGTCTCTCGATTGCTGTGATTCCCCTTCCCCTTCACAAATCAGATAAACTTATATATGATACAAAGGGTACCGAAGTCAAAAACAGTGATAACAGAGAATAAACCAAAGGAAAAATGAAAGAAAGAAAAAGGAAATAACTACATACAGTACACTAAGGGGGAAAAAATCCCCTCTTGTTTCATTTTGATTAGTATCTATTTTATAAGGTCATATGGCATGTATATATACATATATGTGAATATATGTATATATACATAGCTGTACATATACATATATGTGAATATATGTATATATACATAGCTATAGAGCTATTATGATTCTCTGCTAGGACTATCCTAGATATATACTAATTATTAAAATGAGGGAAAACATGGAGCCTATGTTTCTTTGGGTCTTAAGATTTTTTCCCAAGTCTTTCCATTTCCTTATGAATGAGGTGGTGTCATTCTTTCTGATAGAAGTGTAGAACTCCACTGCATATATATCAAAACTTTCTCAATACAGACCCAGAGCACAAAAAATCAAAGAAAAGTTGGATAAATGGGATTGCATTAAACTGCAGAGCTTCTGCATGCATGGCAAAGTATATAGCTAGCAAGATAAACAGATTGGAAGCAGATCTTCACTACCCATACAACGAACAAGAGCCTCATATCCAAAATATACTTAGAGCTCAAACAAATAAATCCCCCAAAACAAATCCTCAAAGAAATAACCACCTCATTAAGAAGTGGGCTATAAAGACTTAAAGAGATATTTCTTCGAAGAGGAAATAAGAATGGCCAATAGACACATGAAGAAATGTTCAAAATTTCTGGTCATAAAAGAAACAAATTAAAACAACATTGAGATTCCACCTCACCCCAGTCAGAATGGAAAGAAGAAGCATAGAAATAGTGGAACAAAAGGGATTTAATTCTGCAGTAATACTCCCTAGACACTATGTTGGAAATGAAGTATATAACTTGATGGGAAGGGAAGTTGAGAGAGAAAAACTGGGAGAAAATGAAGGAGAGGGTGCCTGTTCAAAAAGAAATGCACTCAATACCCGAGTTATGTAACTGTAACCCCTCTGTACATCACCTTTACAATAAACATTAAATAAAGAAGGTTCAGTCAAACATAAAATAGCTCAGTAATATTTGAAGTTTCAGTGGCACAGATTTACACCAGTTTCAGCTCAAAGTACTTATGTGATGTAACAGCTAATCTCATAGAAACTAAATTGTCTGTTCTCAGTATATCTAACATTAGTAGGGTATTCCTCTGCCCTGACATAAAATGACACTGTTGTTATGAGCCATTCAAAGATGCTATTATATAGCTATAGTTGGTACTGCAAAAGGACTTATACTCTGATCACAACCTTATTTCTAGGGTATGTGGACTTGCCTACCTGAGGATTTTAATGGAGCTGCACATAGCTACACAGACACACAGACACACACACAGACACACACACACACACACACACAGAGTACAATTTTAGCTACGTTTAGATATTTAAACGTTTTTCTCATGCATGAGCTTTGAAAACTCTTATTTTGTGAATAGTACTGTTTATTTGTATTTTATTATCATGATATATAAAAAGGTGATCATTTGTAACTATATGTTTGAAAATCAAATCTTATCTCTTGTGTAAGTGCCTAGTGGGATTGTTTCGTTTAATATTAGGTTATGGGTTTTATTGTTGTTGTTCTTTCTGGGCTCAAACTATATTTAATTATAATTCTTTCATTTCCACAGAAAAGGCCAATGTAGTCAAGCATCCTCCAGTTGCTATTCTGCCTCTGGGGACAGGCAATGACCTAGCAAGATGCCTGCGATGGGGAGGAGGTAAAACAACTCCACAACTCACAAAACAGAGATACAGTAGACAACAGCTTGACAATTGCTGTCTGATATTGGAAAACATGATACATATTGTATACATATAGTGTACACATTTGAATATGAGTAATACTTTGAGAGGAACAAATTCTGTACAAGGTGTCAGATTGGTGGTTAGGCTTTAATCCTACACTAATTATAGCCTTAACTTTGGGAGGATACGTTTTTGAATATTTTATTTTTGCTTTCTTGCCTAGAAGATGAGATAAACAGGGATGAACTCAGAGGAAATGTTCAGATTTTTAAATTATGAGATCTGCAATAAAATCACAAAAAGGGGGGAAATTAAAAGTCTAACAAATGCCTTGCTAAGAATGGTAATACAGCATTGGATAATAAGTAACATTGCTGGGCAACCTATTTGACCAGTGTGTTCTGAATTTCACATACAGAGAAAAGAGGAGGAAAATAAGAGGACATTAAAATCTAGTGCATATGGAATACATGTGAATGTAAGATTTTCTATTAAGAAGTAAAACAAAGCCTATATTGATAGAAGAAAAGGCCTTAAACAAAGATAAGCCTAATGAAGAAATGACATATGAAACTGGGTGTAGATTTCATAAACCAAGGAAACATTAAGTTCAAAGACTGAGAAAGAGTGAGAGTTTTAAAATAAAGTTAGGGAACTATAACTGAAATAGTGTAGCTAGAGCAGCATATGCAAAGAGAAAATTTCAAAATGATGTCTTGAAATATTTTAAGGAGCCAATATTTGTACATACTGAAGATGAGTTAACACTACCAGAGACTACAAAAGAAGCCAGAGCTGAATGTTAAAAATTTTAACATCCAAATTCACTGAGAGAACATTGAAAGAGTCTATTACGTGTGAATCAGAATCCTTGGGGAGCTTATTAAACACAGACTGGTCTGACCCTACCCTAAATATGCTGAATGGAAATCCCCAAAGTTGGGACCCGAGCAGGGAGTAGGACTGGAGCAGAGAATCATTTGAAATGAACTCTCAAATAACTGGTTTACAATAAAATTTGAGAACTATTCTTCCAGGAATAGCTGGTAAATTGCTGTTTATGGGTTTACAGTGGTGTATATGGGTTTACACGTGTCTATGGGTTTACTGTATATGGGTTTACAGTGTATATAAGTATTCAATAGAAATTCCTATTAAGCAAATAATTATACTGTAAATTTATACCTCAAAAGAGAAATATGTCTTAACATAGAAAAGCTAAGAATAAAATCTTGGTATGAAGTTATTAAGATTATAGTGAGTTCTTTATGTGTCAGAGTTACCTTTAAATGCATTATTTAGGTTTACAGTACTATATACAAATAAACACACTTAAATGTATACAAATACATTTGTTTCCTAGTTAGCTTTTGTTTCAAGATGATTTGTTTTTTTCATAAGGTTATGAAGGAGAGAATCTCATGAAGATCCTGAGAGACATTGAAATTAGCACAGAAATTATGCTGGACAGGTGGAAGTTTGAAGTAATTCCTAATGACAAAGATGAGAAGGGAGACCCAGTGCCTTACAGTATCATCAACAATTACTTTTCCATTGGAGTGGTAAGATTTTCCACCAAATCTTATTTTGTTAACTTGTCCTAGATAATCACTCTATGAAAACTCTTTCACTATGAAGATTTACAAATTAAAGTTATTTAATGTATGCAAGTCCACAAAACACCTCTTCTAATGAGCAAAAATAAAGCTGTAGAATGTATTTCAGCTCAAGTATGCACAATGGATAAATTTTTCATAGATTAAAGGAAAGATACTATTCTCTTTGTTGATGACTTTTGCCATTTATGTTACTAAAATGCACCGTAGAGTGGTTATCAAGACACATGCAAGTTTTAAAGTATAAGCTATTCCACTTTATTAATGAAAATGTGAATGCATTGTATCACATTTATCTTATGGTCAGGCTATGTTACAAAAGTCACTTTAACCTGTTAAAAATCTATGAAAATTCTCATGCTCTTCTTAAGCAGATAGCAAATGATGGAAATCATTTGTTTAGAATTTACTATTGAAAATAAATATATTATTTGACTGTTTAGAAATATTCCAAAATTAATTCTTAATAATAATTAATCATTTACATTTGCTTCATTTGTTTACATACTTAGCTGATTGTTATGAAGGTGAACTCTATTAGCTATAGCATTACACCCCATTTAATCTATGTTGCTTATACCCACATATACCCAAATATACCCATACGTACCTGTATATAAAACAAACATAACTACAAACACATACAACTAGACTATAAACACATTGGTTGAGTTTATGAATTTAGTAGTCAAGCTATTTCAGTGTCTGTCCTTGGACAAATTATTTAATCTGAGTGTCTATAGATTTACTTGTACCATGTTGTTTCTTATTTTCTGACTCACAAAGTGACAAAATTATATGGATGTACATTTAGGGTTGAGTAGAATGCAAGACTTATAAATATAAAACAATATTAATCTATAGTGGGTATTATGATTACTTGCAAAAAATGTAAAAAACCTTTATCCTGAGAAAGCCACCTCTTCATATTTGTATGAAATACTGAAATTTCAGCTATTTCATTAATGTGCAACTTACGCTAACTCACAAGCTTACAAATGAACTCATTCATTTTAAATACTCTTCTTAATGATTTAGTTAAAATTTTCAAATTTAGAATTTTTATCATCTAAACAAGTACCCCAGTGTCCATTTATAGTTTATTCTGGTTTATTTTCCAGCTAGAGGAAATAACAATTTTTTCTGCCCCTAATATTTTTCTGTTGGACATTTTATAGAAATCATAAACTTTTCATTTGGGATCTCACCATAATATTTTAGAAACCTACTCATATTAACTGTATGACTATTATTTTTCTTTTTGTTGTTCAGTAGTATTCTATTGTATGCTTTGTCCATTCAACAACTTAGGAGCCTTTATATTCTTTTCTGATTTTTGTTTATTATTTGGGATTTTTCTTACATTCATTATTATTATGTATTTTAACTCCACAATTTAAATTTAGTTCTTTTACATGACATCTACATATTCAGTTGATATTTTTGTACAAGAATTCCTTGCTGCTATCTTTTCTTCTATTTTTAAACATGTATTCATTCTTTCAGTTTTCAAACATGTTTACATTGGCTATTTTCAAGTGTTTGTTAAGTCCAATATTTGAGGCCTGTCCTAGACTTTAATTGCATTTTATTAATTGGACAACCCCTGTTCTATTCTTTTGGTTATTATTTTTAATTGTACATGATATAGCTTAGTAACTGTGGATTAGCATTCTGCACAATGTTATTTCTGATGCTGTGATTATGCAATTGGTGATTTCTTTGGGGGATTTCCTCCTTGTGGTGTGAGTAGGCCAGTGCTTTAGCTGCTTTTTAGTCTTTCTAAATATTATTTTATGTTGATACTTATTTCTTAGATTTCCTTTGTCAAGGTGATAGACCATATGCTGAGTCCGTCTCTCCTTTGTTTTTAAGTATCAGCAATGAGCATGACAGTAGTCTGTGTATGCAGTAAGCTTACATGATAATGAGTTGAGAAGATTTGCCAGCAGAAAGTGAGGTTGTCACAATTAATTCCCACAACTGCTGTCCAGCACCTTTTATTCAGATTTTGTACTTGGTCAACAACTATGGACTATGTCAGACTCCTCAAGAAGAAATTTTTCTATCTACTGCATCACCAACAAGTTCATACATGACATTACGTTTATCTTCATAATTGATTATTGTTTCTGAAGCAAATAGTGATCCATTTATCAATATCCTACAGTTATAGGAATAAAGTACAGAAGCAGGTTACATCATTAACAAAACTTAAAGTTAGAGCCAGGTGCCAGTGGCTTATAACCCTAACTATTCAGGAAGCTGAGATCTGAACATCACAGTTCAAAGGCAGTCTTGGCAGCAAAGTTCATGAGACTTTATATCCAAATAACCATCAATAAAAGAGAAAAGCCTGGAGTAGAGCTGTGGCTCATTGTAGAGTGCTAGCTTTGAGCAAGAAACGTTTGTATGTATACATGTATACATATTGATACATAAATAATTTATATACATATATTCTGTATATATATATGTCTATTTCAACTAATTGTGCATGAATATATTGGGGAATCTGGAAGATACAGATAAATTGTTAGATATATCGATCTACCAGGGCTAGATCATGGACAGAGTGAATTTATGTATATATAATTAATATGGAGATTGGATTAATACAGATAACTATGTAACAAAGAACAAAACAAAAAGCAAACCACAACACACACACACACACACACACACACTCATAGGAATGCTAGATTCATTAGTGAACTCTGGCAAACATTTAAAGAATACCAATCCTCAAAGTCTTTTACAAATTGGAAGAGGACAGGCACACACACAAAATGGCAGCCAGCCAAAGACAACACTACAAAAGAAAACTATTAGCCAATATTCCTAATAAACCTGAATGTAAAAGGAATTGAATAAATTGTTAGCATTTCAAATGCATCAGCACATAGAAGGATTATATACTGTAACCAATTGGGAATTATTCATGTAACTCAAGGATTGCTCTACATATGACAATTCATTAATGTGGCATTTACAATTACAGAATAAAGGGTACAAAATTATATAATCTCCTCATGTGTAGACACAGTGGTCTCAATAATTCGGAAATATAAAGGAATGACCTCAACATAGTCAAAGACATCCATGAGCAGTCTACAATTTGTATCATACTTAATGTGGAGAACTGAAAGCTTTTCTTCTCAGATCAGAAATAAAGAAAAGCTATTTCTCACTTCTACCATCCAACATAGTAGAAGATGGTCTAATCAAAACAACTAAGCCAAAGAAACAAACTCACCAGTACACTGGAAGTGGTGTTAGCTAAAGTGCTAGGAAACACACCAATTCACTTTTCCACAAATACCTTTGGGCTTTCTGAAGTGAATTTTTAGAGGCCATTGAGATGAGAAGAAATTAGCATAAACTTTATTCAGTCATCCTGACTCGATTCCTGAGTCAAATGGCAATGCAGACCAGAGAAGCTGGCAGCTAGTAGGCTCTTGGAGCCCTGAGCCTAATAGCTAAGAACATTAGAACAATGACTTCTCTTTATTGACTAAATGAAGCCTGGGAGCCTTGTACTGAGTAACTAAGAGATGAGGTGGCTGAAGGGTCCTCGGTGGTAAAAACACAGTACACTTCCACTGGCATCTTGGACTCTGGTCTCTTTGTCCTTCAGCAAGGAGTTCACCAAGTAAATAAAGCCTCTTGTGTGGAAGTTTTGAAGCGATTAACATTTAAAGATTAAATTCATTAGGAACCATTTATGTTTTCTGGAAAGATTAGATTTGTTAGGAAATGTTTATATTTTCTGGAATATTCATAAAATGTTTATTGAGAAATCACACAGGTGGCCATAAGATGACAGTTTCTAAAGTAGTAATCATAAAGGTAAAATTATCACTATAATTTTATCAGGGGAAATACTTTAAAAGCTGATGTAAAAATTCTAACATTTGAAATTTTAGAACAGATTCCTGGATAATTCTTGGATGCAAGATGAAATTAAAAGGAAACTGGCAAACTACAGAGAAAAGCTACTCATGCTATTCTTAAATACTGTGAAACTTCAAGGGAAATTTTCTAACTTTTCATTTTGTAGAGAGAACATAAAAAAGAATCTTAATAGTTATTCTAAGAATCTAGACATAAGCTAAGAAAAAATTTTATTAAAATAAATGGTTATAATGATTGTGTAATGAAGATTAAATAATAATTATCTCCATATAGTAAAAATCATAATACTATTAATACAGATAATCATATGTGCTCTAGAGGTTTTAATCTTAAATATGTAAAAATAGTAAGTATACCTAACTACAGATATGTATAGAATGTGGTAGTTATATATATTTTTATATATTTATTTTTATATATAGAGAGAGAGACAGACAGAGAGAAACAGTGAGAAAGATAATAGTTCTAATAATAAAAACATTTGGAAATTTTTGTAGGAATACCTATGAAAATAATAACTTTGAAATTTGATTAGAGCAAATAAATAAAACAATAGATAATAAAACACTGAAAATGATAAAGGAAGTAAACTAAAAATATAAACCAATATTTCAGAAAATGTATTTTAAAACTTTTCATAATTAGAAGTGTGCAAACATTGTAAATAATTTATTTGACCACAATTTCTTGAATATAACAATAAAAACAAGCACAAAGGAAAAGGAAAAAAATCACTTTTATTGACCAATAAAGGAATAATTTTATAAAAGTCCAAATGGATCTAAATGATCACAATTGCATTTATATAAATAAAAACAAGAGTTCTCAAGTTTTATAGTTAAAAGTTAATTGGAAGAAATGTGAAAGTTACTAGCTTTCTACAAAGCCATAGTTAGTATTTGATTAACTGAGGCATACTGGAAGAATCCCAAATAAGACCCTCAAACAAGGTAAAAAAAAAAAATTCTTATCATTCTTCCAGTCAGCACTTTTAGAAAACTGAGCTAATGATGAAACATGTATCTGCTAAA